ACTGGATCGCCACCGACCGCTGCCGTAACACATGCTTCGGAACTTACGCACGCGGCGGCGTCCGCTTTACGGTGCTCACATTTGTGCCTTAGCCGCCGCGATTCTCCTCCTCCTTTCCGTTTCACTCCTCTACAGTCGCCTCAACTTCTTCCTCCAACCTAACAATCACCACCCGCACTCCCTCCAATACGACACTATTTCACTGAACAATCCTCTCGTGGACGATTTAGCCGACGCTGATTACCGCTCCTCTGACGACCGCATCGACGAGCTCGACGTTGCTGACAATAACAACAACAATAACGATGATGAGTTCCTCTTATCCAACGAATCCGAAGAGGACGACGAAGAACTCATCAACCAATATCCTAGGGTTTCCTCCACGTATTTCTACGATCAGAGGCACGGAGTTGTACGGAGAGCGTTTAACAAGCGATCGATTGAGGAATGGGAGGATTACGTTAATTTCGAATCGAGGATGAAGGTAGGATTAGGGTTTAAGAGTGATGAATCTAAGGCCGCGTTTGGATCTGATGATTTTCCAGTAGATGTGCAAATGAGAATGAAATTGAGTGAGATTAAGAGTGTTGAAGATGCTTTGTTACTAAAAGGATCACCTTTGAGGGAAGGGTGGGGTGAGTGGTTTGAAAAGAAGAGTGATTTTTTGAGGCGGGATCGGATGTTCAAGTCGAATTTGGAGGCGTTAAATCCAAATAATAATCCCATGTTCCAGGATCCTGATGGAGCTGGGATTACTGGATTGAGTAGAGGGGATAAAATTGTATTGAAAGTGTTGATGAATGAGCTTAAGAAAGTTCCATTTCTGGTGAAAAAGCCACTTTCGGTTTCTGAATTGAGAAAATCTGAGCTGGTTAGTGATGCTTTGGATTTGCACAAGATGGTGGGGCTGGCCAAAAATGATGCCTTTGAGTCGAAAGAGTTGAAGTTCAATACTGAATTAGTGAAAACTAATGATGCGTATGTGAATAAAGGGAAGAGAGCGGAGCGTAGAACATTAAATGATAATGCTAGAATTGGAAAAAGAGCTGTACATGTTCATGATACTGATGAAGATTTAGCTACTAGGAGTAACAAAGGGATACACAATGGTAATAGGAAAGCTGTGGAAGGTGAGACAAGAGGTGAAGTTTCTGGGCAAGTCTATGCTGATGGAAAGAGATGGGGTTACTTTCCGGGTTTGCAACCCCGGTTGTCTTTTGCTAATTTTATGAATTCCTTTTTCAGGAAAGCAAAATGTACAATGAGATTTTTCATGGTGTGGAATTCTCCTGCATGGATGTTTACCACTCGGTATCATAGGGGACTTGAGAGCGTACTTAACCATCACTCGGATGCCTGTGTGGTGGTTTTCTCTGAGACAATAGAACTTAACTTCTTTAGTGGTTTTGTGAAGGATGGGTAAATTCCTGAATTTCTTTCTGCCTTCAGTTCGTAATGTTTGTTTGAATTATTTGAAGTTTCCATGTTTGCGTCAGGAAGACTGTACTAATTATGGTGTTTCCTAGAAGTCTTAAGTTCTTCTTACAGCAGCAAAGGAAAAAGAAAAAGAAGATTGTCTTAAGTTGTTCTTTGTGCATATATGCGCGTGTGCATGTTTATCGTGTTGTATTCTTCTATTTGCAATTTTATTGGGAATGGATTTGATGATGGCTTATTTTCCGCAGCTTCAAAGTGACTGTTGTGATGCCCAATCTTGATGAGCTCCTACAGGATACACCAACACATGTATTTGCTTCTGTCTGGTACGAGTGGAAGCAGACAAAACATTATCCCTTACATTACAGTGAACTTGTCAGGGTGGCAGCTCTATACAAGTAAGGAATATGCGAAATATTTACTTGGCCTTGTATTTGTATTGTATGTACTGTGCAATTACTTGAAGTGTCATTTCTACGATGATGCATTGTAGTTACAATTCAAATATATTACCGTTTGCCTAGAGTGGCATAACAGAGTTCAAAAGCTCTAGTGTTTCTTGTGTATAACATTTTGACTCGACTAAGGCAAAGTAGATAAATAACCAGTACATAAGATCCCGATTGCATATTTGAATCAGTAGAATTACTTATTATATAAAAAAGTAAAAAACTTCCGAATTATCATTTCAATATTAACAAGTTGATGCGTGGATCATCAGAAAAGCAGAAACAGGTACCTTCTGTACCAGTATACAACTCATGAATGGATAACTGATGAATGTGATAGGAATTAGTGAAAGAAGGAAGAGTAGCAATAGATGAGCTTCAATTGAATGAAGTTTATTTCATTTTAATTTTATATTTGTGTACTTGTTTCTCCTAATCTTCTTCATATAAACTGATATTCTTAAACTTGGACTAGAAAGCAACAAGGTTGTTCATGAAGATAAGAGATGGAATTAATGATGGTGAGAAGACTACTAAATAAGGATCTAAGTTTATGGGATATGCAAAATTTTGGATGTTAGCATATATGTTAATGGATAGTCCACTGAAGTTGTCTGTGGCACATGGTAAGGGTTTTTTAAGATCACATGTTTCTCAGAATTTTTCTGCTCCTAGTGAGGGTTTTGTTTTAGCAATATATGCCCATAGCTGAATTATATGAGTTTTCCTTAGGGAAAATAAATTGTTGTTTGCACCAACATCTCTTGGCGAAAGCCAAGAACCTTATGACATCATGATCGTGTTAGAATATGTTTGCCATAAATATAGAAATTTATGTGTAATTGTACCTGTTTTCTCCGAAATGTCTAAGTCACAATCTTTTTTGCTGTATCACATTGTTTGAATAATGATTGAAGGATTGACTAAAGGGGGCATTTGACAGATGTTGTCCTATGGGTTATTTACAGCTGTGGTCCTGTTTGTAATGAACTTCTTGCTAAGTCCTTTTACTGCAGCATTGTTTTTGCTTCAGTGATAATGATCTTCAATTTCTTTTGATGAAATTCATAGTTTTTCGGTGTTGTTAATAAACTTCATGTGCTCTTTTGCCTTGTCGCTTGCAGGTATGGGGGAATCTATCTTGACTCGGATATCATAGCGTTGAATTCATTGTCTTCGCTTAATAATACTGTTGCTTTTGAGAATGACCTACGTGGAAAAACTTTGAATGGTGCTGTAATGGCATTTAGAAAGCAAAGGTACTTGTAACTCCACTTTTGCCGTCTGTAGTTCTTAACTGCTATGTTCTAGTTTGCGTACTTGGACCTTGCAATATCCATCTGTTCTCTGGTATTTTGTAAGTAAGCAATAAAGCAGGTTTGCACGTTCTACAATTGGGGCCAACTGAGAAAGAAATTTGGATATTGAAATAAGAGCAATTAAGAAGGACATTTGAATGGAAAAAAATATTATCTTTTACTTTTTAATCTGATGCTGGTGGCTACTGCCGTTATGTGGATAAAATAACATGTTCTTTTAGTAAGATAAAGATCGATGCACCCCCCCCCCCCCCCCC